ATATATTCATTTTTGAGTTCATTTGCAAAAACAGAACTCAAAAATCATGTTTTTTTCATTGGGCATTCCAATTAATCTCAATCAAACTGCAGTTAAGTTATTTTGATTAGGTTAAAAATAACAAAAAATTACAGCTAACACAATAAAAACATGATTACATAATAAAAAACATGATTTTTGAAAATGTATCTCTATTTTTGAAGAGTTATCTGTTTTTGCAAATAAACTCTTCATATATATATATACAGTATATATAAAATAGAGATACATTTTCAAAAATCATGTTTTTATCATTGTATATATATATATATATATATATAATGTGGTATCAGAAATAAAATGAAAATTTTACTTTAGAACCACACTACACATCTTCATATAGAAGCATACCACTGAAGATAGTTAAAGGCTCCACTGAATGGGCCAGTTTGCCCATGACCAGGTCTATGCAGACTGTATCGCCCACCTGAAGGGACAGGATGATGTTGAAGACAGCCAGAGAACCTGGTGTTGGTTTTGCTTCGGCCATGGGTTTGTTTTCCAACCCTTCTGGTTGGTAACCTGCCGAGTCCACCCGAGCCATGCCATAGTTAGACCTGGAGAGCACAGCTTCAATCTTCTCATTTTTGTGACCTGTCAGGATAGCGCTAAAGAAGTAGCGTCCATCAAGTGGTGCAGTAAAGATACCTGTATTCAAGAAAAAACAAACATGTATACAGTTTTCCATGGCTCCATCCTTCCACATTATTTTTGCTTCATGCCAAAGTAGAATTGCAAATAGACTGTCTGTCAGCAGTGCCAAGATTACCTGTTCGTGGATTATAATAGCTTCCTTCATTTACCAAGATCTTATCAAAAATGATTGTTCCAGATGTAACCATGGGATTCGTGAGAGCTGCTGAGAAGGAAAGACGTGGTATGTTGGCATCTGCGCCGGCCACACCTGAAATGATCACAACAGTACATTTTTAAAAGAAAGCTCTAAAATGTGTTTTCAAATTGCTGACATCATCAGTTCTTAACCCTAAATTTATCCCTATATAGACATGGTTTACACAACCAGTTTTAGTTATCAGCTGCTGACCTTTGGCTCAACTACTGACCCAGTACTGCCAATAACAACTGAACACATGGCGCAACACTTAAAACAGAAAAATCGCTGACTTTAATGCAAACGGACACTTTACACATCTCACTGAATTCTTGTCTTCATTCCAAACATTGGCACACATTAAAATAACCTCAGTGTTTGACTAGGATATGGCTGCTGAAAGAATTAAAAGCAAATTAAATACATACCTCTCTCTCCTCTGAGACCTATAATAGGAGAAAGCAAAATGTGAGTCACTTTAAAATATGGTGCAAGTGTCGGTGTATGGTGCAATAATATGAAGTGTCTAGTTCACCCAAAAATTACAATTGTCATTCTGAAATTTACTCATCCTCATGTCATTCCAATCTTGTATATTTTTTCATCCATGAAACACAAAGGAGATCTTCTGCTTTCCATATAAGAAAAGTACAGTATACAGCCAAGCACCATGAATAAGTAAATAATGACAAAATATTCATTTTTGGGTGAACATTTTCACTAATCCTTAGACAAAAACAAGGTTTCTCACCAGGAGGTCCTTTTGGTCCAGGTAAGCCCGGAATACCTGGTGGTCCATCATTACCTGGAGGTCCCTGTGGACCTGGGAGCCCACTTTCTCCCTGCGGACCTGGTGGTCCAGGTAAACCTATAATGAAAAAGGAAGTAATTAAAAGAGTTTGTCTTTTCATATCCATCAGGGTTGTGCAAATTTCAGAATCGTCTCCCTTTGAATGTGTGTGAATTTGAATTGAACGGGCACACCCCACAGGAAGTTGAATTGGAATTTGAATAGGAATGACAGCAAGAGAGGTTCACTGAATTGTAATTCAAAGACATTCAACAAAGTAATACACTCTGGGAATTGCATTATGGATTAAATTAAATGGAATCCATTCTCAATTCAATTCAGAATGGTGTACAACCCTGATATCCATTAAAATGTAAGAGCTATGTTAATTGCTGGTGCTGGAAATTTAGAATATGTTCTTACAGGCTGTCAAATTGCAATGTTAGTAAAACTCTCGAGTTTGTCTTTCTACTTTCTAAGTCAGACCTGTTAAGTCATTCTCAGTTAAGCTCTGGAACTCCTTGAGGATGTGGTCCATTGAGGAATTTAGTCTCTTGATGTTGCCATGGATATCATCCAGATGTGTGTTCTGGAGGATCTCAATGAACCCACTGTGTGAGATCACTGTGTTGTTTAGCCCACTGACACAGTTCCACAGGCTAGACACGTGTTTGTTCAGGCCTTCTTTGATCTTCTGGAGATTGTCTGAGACAGAGTCAAGCCGACCACAAACCACTTCGAGTTTAGAGAGCCTCTTATCCAGACCATCGCCAGTCCTCTTGCAGTCACCCATCTCAACCACAAAGTTATTCCCAAAGCGACGTACATCTCGATCCACATTGTCAAAACGTATCCTGCTATCCTCTATGTGCTCTGTCATTTCCTGCTGGATCTTGTCAATTTCAGAAATGATTTTGTCTTTGGTGTTTCCAAGGTCGGTGATAACACTGTCGTGTTTCTGGACCACATGCTCCAGACCTTTTAGTGTGTCATTGATGGAGCTGAAGGTTAAGATGACCTCAGACAGTTCTCCCTGAATTGACTTGAGGTCACCGGTATTACTACTGATGACACTGTATCCATCCAGCGGTTTCTGTGGGTCATCCAGGTGACCTGTTCCTGATTCCGTTCCTGTAGGAGTATTCAGGTTGATCTTGCATTGACCACTGCAATTCTGTACCTCCTGTCTCAACTGATCCATCTCATCCTGCAAACTGGAGCAAACATCCACACAACCCGTCTGACCAGACTCAATTTTACCTTTAATGTAGTTCATTTCTTTCTGCCATCTGTCCATGGCATGGTTTGTGATGTTCTTGAGTTTCTTTAGGTCATCTTCCACTGTGCTGCACACGTCACAGTTCTCAATCTCCATGACAATCCTGTTGAAGTGTTCCCCATTGTCTCCAGTTAGTGCTTTGATCTTGCGAACATCATGGCTGAGGTTAATGACCCTATCTTCAAGAGAATAACCAGACACAGAGAGATCCTTGAGTCGTGTGTCAAACCTCTTGATCTCATCTTCATTTGCAATGACTCTCCACTCCAAAGACTTCACTGTCTCACTAGGGCTCGCACTAGCACCGGTTGGACTTGACCCAGAACTTGAGCCTGAGCACCCAGAGCATTCGCGTAACCTCCTGTCTATGAAGGATGTTGTATTCTCAAGCCGAGATAGGCGCTTATCAAGATCAAATACAGTTTCTTTAAAGATTCCTATATCAAGGTCCATGTCATTAATCCTGTATTCCTGGTCAAGAAAACGATTATTGAATTCATTGCGAAGATTTCTGAGTTCCTGCTGGAATGAGTCCCGTATGTTAGTCTCCATATAAGCACAGTTTTCCTCTGCCTTCTGGACAGTGTTGTTGAGCTGTCTCTCCAGGTCTTTTAGATTATCATTGAAAAGATCTTCTGGCATTATAGGAACTTGTCCACCTGTTCCTCCTAGTTCCCTATTCAGACGATCCTGAAGCTTGTCATAGGCCTCTGACGTTGAGCTTATCTTCCTGTCCATGTCATTAAGTCGTCTACTGAGGTTTGTTACAGTGTCACAGCAGCCTTGAGACCGGCTGAGGTCTCGGCGCAAACCATCAAGAGTCTGGCGGTGACGCTGGTCCATGGCATTAATCTGCTTTTCCAGAGCCAAGATCCTCTCTCGATCTTGTTGCTGTTGCCTTCTCAAGTCTTCCACTCCAGACTGACAGGCAGAACATGAAAGAGTCACTCGACGTTCAAGCTCTCTGAGGATTTCCACCTTCAAGGTGTTGAACCTGTTTTCTCCTGCTCCCCCAATGTCTAAGTCATTGCCTTCTCCCTTTCCATTCACAAGGTGGTTATTGATGCTGACTAGAGTCTTGTCATGAGCTTGAGTACGGTTGTCCAACTGATCAAGCTTGGTCTGAATGTTATGGATGGTCTCTTTCATTTCAGGCTGAGCTGCATCAGCTGGTGTTTTGCCACTATTAAAACCTGGATTACGCATTTCCTCTTGGAATCTTTCATTCATGCCACGCAGAGTTGACTGCAGGTCAGTTAGGTCTTTGTTCAACTTCTGGATTTTGTCCTCCAGTTGCTTCATCTTGTCATTGTCACCTCTCCCTAGGTAAAGATCAAACACAATGGTAATTTTAAGATAGTCAGTAGCTATTTAAAGATTAGCAATAGTTTGGCAGACCCAGAATTCACAGTCCTGTCAACTCTGACAATCAAAACATTGCTCCAGTGGCCAGTTGTAACATTTTGGAGTATTTCTGTAAAGACTCAGTTATATTTGGATGTGCTTGAAAGATGCAGAAGATGCAGGTATGGAAGAATCGAGAACATCAACAAGGCCAGACATTGTTAGACAACTGCATGAGCAACTACAGCCAACAAAGACATCAAAATATAACCAATGGATTTTGGTATCCTCCAAAATGAAAAACAATCAGTGAGAGAATTTTTGGTGCAACACCTTGTTAAAATTTTATTGAAAAAATTTGCAGCATAGTCTGAGGACCATGAGAAAACATTGACTTACCATTCCCTCCGTTCTGTCCATGACCGGTATTAGTTCCAGTTTGTCCTGGTTGTGGTCTAGGCCAAGGTCTGCTTGTTGAGATCTGAGTATCAGATCCCCCGTTTGGTCCATTATTACAGTCTTCTCCACTGTATCCATGGCAACACTTCCACTCCATTTCTGTTAACATTTTGTAAGCCACCTTGTATCTGGGCCTCATGTAGGTCCGATACCTATAAACACATGAAAACCATTTGAATGAAAGCTTGAAATTTCATAGTTTGGACACTGCTGTGATAAATCTTGCCATGCCTAAGTGTTTCCTGACTTGTAATGTTTAGTTTGAATTGTGAAATATATGGGACTGAGAAACAATCAAACAATACAAATTATATGATGATACAAACTACAAAGAATACACTCTATAACAACAAAAACTATCCAGGCCTAGTACATACATTACCTTACGATTCACCATTCTGTATATTGTATAATATATTCCACATTAAACAGACTCTCACTTTAAACAAACCGATCCCTTCAGGGAACAGTGTTGTATTGCAAAACTCACTACTCAACAAATTAATTTCTGCGTGTCGCTCTCAGAGCGAGACCCACATATTCCGACATACACTTGAAAAGCACAGGCTGTATTGCATGCAGTTGTTGGTCCAAGAATGGAGAAAGACATTCATAGCATATACTGTATGTTTCAAAATTAATTCTCAGCACATTCATACCACTTTTGCTAGTTGCTACACAGACATATGCCGGCCAACTGTATAAACCTCTTATTCAATGAAGGGCTGGGTTATGGTAGAAACGGTGCATATCCTTAGATATAGCATGGATCCCTCCTTCAATCTATGGGACCTTTTGTATGTTCTGGCATTCAGAAACTATAAATCTACTTGCTGAAGTTTAATACTCATGGTTAGGGGTTTCTAAGAAAGATTGTATAAGACCATCTCATCAGAGACATTATATTTATGTTGTAATTCTGACCAGTAGTCTAGGTCTCAAGTTCACTGTGTCATTCAAATAAACAAATATATAGTGAAACATCACGGTTAGCCTTGAACCCATACATCAGCACCATATTAAGGTGCAAAAGGAAGCAATTTCAGCATTTCTTTTTTTCCCCAGGACTTTTGGCTACAGTTCTTAAGCCACTGAATTCTTGTCTCCACGCTCTGTTTGTTCCATGACCCCCGTGAGAAGAAAAAAAGGAGAAAAAGGGGTCACCATACTCTACTGGGTGAGTTTAAAGATAAGTGGTGGTATTTTAGTAGGTTTTAAGCCTAATTCCTGTTGCGCGCTGGTTGTAGAGTTTGGAATGACATGCCACCTCATTCCATAAATACTGTAGCAGTGTGTGTGTGCTGAATCTAAAGGAGTTGGATTAAGCTTTTCCAGCTGGAGTTCAGTACGTTTCCAGCAACTGGAAACCACCTCGCAATTGCACACACTTACTAATCCTGGCATCCTCAAACTACATTCTATTTATCTCCATTTGTTGACATTAGCTTTACTATGTAAACACAATGTTTTTAGTATTTCTTAGACTTTAATGACTCATATTTCCAGTAAAATGTGATGTGGTATATATTCTAGTGTCTATAAATGTTATGATGATGTTAACTTTCAACATCTGTTTCCTGGCTGAAATTAATTAATGTAGTACCTAATGGTTCCACTTATTTAGAGTGCACTAAAATAAAGGTCAGAAAAACAGACTTGCTTTTACCTCAAATGCTCTGACTGATTTGAAGTCTGATAGGTGCATGTTTATATCAACAAACAGATGCGTAAGATGGATAAGCTAAAGTGTCATGGTAAAGTAGCATACAACTAGCATTAAGCTAAATAACATACGGCTAATGGTACCCAACTTTGGGGCCTGATCATGCCACATGCAAAAACAGACTGTTTATTGTGCTGCCTATGTTAGCAAGTTACATCTTACATACTGTTTGTGTAAACATTAGGGTGGGTTGCACCAGCCGTTCATAAGTTCTTAAACTGGAACATAAAGTCAACACGAGTGACTTGGCAACTACTTCGACCGTTTGTAAGCTCTGTACTTAATTTGGTTGCACCATTTGTTCTTTAGGCAGATTGTAGCTCGTAGGCTCTGTAAAGTAATGCATAGTCACATTATATGACGTTTACTTTCAGTGATCCAACAGCAGCCTTCAAATTTTAAGCAGATGTGCTCTGAATTTCAGTTTCTCCTGGTAAGGTTAATTTTGCCCTCTGTAACTTCTGGTTTCCACTGAAATATGATACTTAATCATGAAATAATGACACAAATGTTGTAACTTAGTGTCCCTTTATGTTGCAACTTTGCAACACAGCTGATGCAACCAGCCCATATAGAAAACAATTTCGCCGCTATTATGCTTTGACTATGTTAGCTGGCTTCTAAGTAGTCCAGGCTGGTTATTAGCTGGTCTTAGCCACCTGTTACAGAGAAATACTGCTTTAGGTAGCTGGTTTGTTGCTGGCCCAAAATGTTGTTATAGCCTTTTATGAAACAACATAACATGGAGCAAATTGCTCATTGTTTGGAAAAGACATCTGTTGGGCTTGATGCTCTGACAAACAACACTTTCTATTCAGTAAATCTACTGTATACTGAATATACCGATAATCATTGTATAATTTGGGTATGAGAAATAAAACAGAGATTAAACATGTTAGAGAGAGAAAACAAAAGTCCAATACGGATAAAAAGGAAGCGCTTACACTACAACACGGGCACACTGAATGCCCCAGGAACATGGCTGATAGTCAGGCTTCACATAAGTCTCCACTCCATCTTCCACCACACAGCTCACAGTCTTGGTCACCACATACGCACACCAGTTTCTGTAAAAAGAAATGCACATGTAGTTAGCATACTTGTAGAATTGGCTGGACTAACTGAATGTAGCATAGCATAGTAGATTTTATAACAAAGGACTGTAAACCGGTCTGCCATGTCCAGCATTACTAGAATTATTTTTCCAATTTACAACTTGTGCTATATCATGCCTTGTCTATTACAATACACAATGGCTTTCATGCTGCTGACTACAGTTAGAGTGAGTTGGATGCATCACTTATCTAATCTTATGTTTAGCCCCAGTTTTTTTTTTAGTCTACTAGTAAGAGCAACAAACGACATGATTGTCTGCTGTGTGTAATGCAGATGCGATTTGTCTTCTGCAGTTGTTCGCTCATGAATTAAGCTTAAGTTACACCTCAGACCATTGCAATAAAGATTGCCATCAGCGCACATTTGACTCATGCTGTGTCTCTTCAGAATAAACCCACATAGTTTCTTCTCAGAGGCCACCTAAACATGTGATTTCCAATGCATCTGAATCATGATATAACCAGACAACCACGTGTGCAGCTGCTAAAAAGACAATGAATATCACTGATTCTCATTAGGAATAAACTCAGTATGGATTGCACCAAATGTGGCCCCATGCAAAAGTTTTGATTTCTCTATAAAACAGCTTATCAGAAATGATGATCAAACAGTGTTGAGATGACATCAACCATTTTAATAGACAGTATTACCCTCCATTAACCGTGTTTTTTCCTACTGCTCTTGGTCCATATCAGCCATGACTGCAACAAGTAAGTAAGTAAGCAACAGGACAATTTTTTCCATCTTTTCTTTTCTACTTTAGAGGAGCTGCCCACAGTGAAATCTCATTAGTCAAAAATCCCACCTCTCATGGCTGTACGGCAAGGCAAGATTATATAGCACATTTCATACAGAGTGGTAATTCAAAGAAATAATAAAGTAATAATAAACAATAACAATATGAATATATGTATATATTTTGTTATATATATATATATATATATATAAATAATAATGCATTAAAATATGTTCAACATGAAATCTTATCTTATAAATTCAAGAGAAATATTAAAACTAAAGGGTTCTCATTCACTGATAACAGCTGTACATCTTGATATTTTCCAGAGCATTACAAATGACTTCGCATTTGGTCTATATGGATAGTATCGTAATTTTATTTATTTATTTATTTATTTGCAGTTTGACAGTTGACTCTAAAAGGTCACTGCCAAGAAGTAACCAACAGATGACCCATTCCTTTTGCAAATGCATTACGTAACAGAAGGAAGTTAGCCAACAAATGGCTTGTCATGGAAAAAACCACTTAATTCTCCCAAGACATCTTCCACGAGGACGCTCTCTAGACCATTACCACCTGACTCCTGCTTTGATTGCTCACGATTCATCAGTGACCTACAGTGGATTTCCTGTCTCCACAGCTGCTTGGGATGCTCACACGTATTATCAGCACAATTTCATGTTTTGGCCTTCGATATTAAACTCAGATGGTGCTAGATCAGAGTAATGACACCATGACATAATCCATGCTGGCTAAACTAAAGTATTTTTATAATGAATTACAAAAAAAAATGCAGTGTTTTGACCAACAAGTAAAAACCAGAATCACCTTTCAAAGAACTGAAAGAGGGTTTTGTAGCTTTTAGTCCATATCTGTTAGCTTTGAATTCATCTATATGCTAGTGTGCTTCTAAACATTGACAAAATTAACTTTTAGTGAATATACGCAGAAAAAACAGATCATAAATATTCATCGCTTATGTTAAACTACACAGATGTTTGTCCAATCAAATGCTTTGTAAAACGAGAAAGTCCCTCCTCCTAAATTAGCATCTGCAAATGACTAGGAAGTAGCCTAAAAGCCTATTGGCTATTTTTAATAAAATGGGACAAGCACCAAGAGCTTGTAACACTCCAAAGAGAAAGGAAAACTTGAAATTGCATCATCTGACCCCTTTAATATTTCCGAGGCAACATTATTGTTTCAACAGGTAATGCATTAAAATGCTTTCCAATTGATTTTCCATTGTCTTTTATATCTCCATTACTACTAATAACTTCCACAGCTGTGTCCAGTAAAATCTGCTTCCATCCATAATCGTAACACAACAAGGTTTTGATTTCAGTGAACTGTATCTCATTGATGGTGTTAAGTGGTGGGCAATCCATTACTCAATACGTAGCCCACATAACAATACCACATGTAATGCTAGCTGTTCATGCGAGGAGCTTTCTAGGTTTAAAGATTTTACAAAGTTGTCAGGCTGCTTCAGCCCACCACTATTTGTTTTTCAACTGTTGATTGGAGTGAACCAGACAAAGTAAATAGTAAATAGTAAATAGTAAATCCAGGCCGCTACAGCCAGCCATGAATGATCCACATTCTTAGCGGATTTGTCATGCAGAATTGATTCATGCAGAATTATTTTGGGCTCGCTTTCATCGAACACTCATGCAGCTCATGACTTTACTAAGACTCTCAGCATGTTTCAGCTCCAAAAAGAATGGAAAATATGAGAGAAGACAGGAAAAGCGGACAAAATAAAGTGCATTTGGCAGCTTTACACATATCCCGGTGTGTGTGCAGCCTCCATTTGAACCAATGAGAGCTGATTCCAATATACAAAAAGTGATATTAATCCCTGCGATGCAAAATGTTTTCATATTTTTCCATTACATCATTTCTGTTTTCCAAAAATAAATGACTTTATAGTCATAAGTGACTGCAATAAATGGTTTTGCTAAGAGTGAAGTAAAAATGTAGTCATGTAGAAACGTCATGGCTTTAAAAAAATCATCTGCATAATCGCCTGAGATTAAAAACATTACAAAATAAATGAAATATGCTAAAACAGAAGCACATCTCAGAGTTAGAAAGTCATTTTACCATGGTGTTATGATTATGTCACCTGCTTGGATCTAAAAACTCATTGCAGCAGTGAAAGACTCAAAAGAGTTGAAATATAAGACTTCAGAAGTCTCGAAGAGCATAAGGCTAAATAATAAACCCACTCTGCAGTTTAAAGCATCTTGAAACATTTTCTGAGATGTTAGCATGTGTTTAAGTTGCAGATGATGATAAGCAAATGTTAGAATTGATTATCTGCTGTTTAATTCAAATTAGTTACTTTCTCTTTGTGTGATTTTTGCTTAAAAAGCATAAGTAAGGACCATGTAAGGTTTTAAATAAATTCACATCACATGATTACAAAAGGCAAAATGACACCCTTAAATCGACAATAATTAATAAGTTTACACTGTTTTCTGTAACATTTTTTGAGGAATGCTGAAGCTCAAACATTATTGCATGCCGCTAGCAACATCAAGGTCATGGGTTCAATTCACAGGAATACATGAACTGGTGAAATGTATACCTTGATCGCAATGGAAGTCAATTTGAATAAAACTGTCTGCCAAATGCATGAAAGTCAATGTAAAAGACCTTACAAATATCACTCTCTTCTTGTAGAGCCGTTCAAGGGTGTATAAATGACATTTGGAAGTCACTATCTCGCTGTTTCTGTCCCTGCCTCTCTGACACACACACACACACACACACACATACACACACACACACACACACACTATTCTCTAATTATCTGTCAGAAAAGTGACCTAATCCAATGTAGAGTATGTGGTGTAAAGATACAGTCATCTCTTTGTTCCTCAGCACTGCTGAAAACACTATTTTTTCCGATCATTCCCTCAAATTTGTCCAATTGCACATTTGCCATGTTCAACCATGTCCGATGGCACTCATGTGTTGATTAATGTGTCTGAAATGATTGAGTACATAAATATACACATGTGTAACAGGCTGCAGAATCCTATTATTATCACTTCCTGGACCTTCTCCAGTAAACCTAAAACAACAGAGCAGAATGGACTGCAGAAATGGTCTATTATCTAGGGAGCCATTTAATGAGGAAGAAACTAATTTAACTCATTTAAAATGAATTTAACTATACCAAAACCTAGCTACAGTATCCCCATACGTTTAGGATACGGATCTTACATTATGCACACTGATGGATATCTTGTTCATGTCTTTGTCATTGAAGTTTGTTCATAAATCATAGTATTCATTTTGTAAAACTGACACTTTATGCCTGTGATAAACTGATATCTGCATTTATTTCATAAAAAAAAAACAGTAATATTGTGAAATATTGATACAAATTTTTCTGTTTTGAATATATTTTGAAATGTAATTTATTCCTGTAATGCAAAGCTGAATTTTTAGCAGCCATTACTCCAGTCTTCAGTGTCTCATGATCCTTCAGAAATCATTCTAATATGCTGATTTGCTGCTCTAGAAATATTACTTTTGATTATTAATGTTGAAAACAGTTGAGCTGCTTAATATGTTGTGGAAACTGTGCTTTTTTCAGATGTATTTCCAAGAAAAAAACATCGTCTTATATTCGGGACAATACGGTATATTTTTTCAGGATCCTTTGATGATTAGAAATTTCAAAATAACCCCATTTGTTTGAAAGAGAAATCTTTTGTAACATTAAAACGGTCTTTACTGTCTCTTTTGATCAATTTAATAAATCCTTGCGGAATAAAATTAATTTCTTCAAAAAAAAAAACAAAAAAAAAAAACATCTTATTGACTCCAAACTCTTGAACGGTTGTATGCAATAACTTTCCAAACTCTCTATGAGTGCTGCCGTATATGATCACCTTCAGTTTTGGAAACTCTTATATACTTGTGTCACCTCAGATATTACTCAATTCAGGGTCTTAACGGTTCTTATATGAACTGTAATCCTGCAGCTTGTGCCAAGACGATGTCCCCCACCCTTTTAGAAAACACGAGGCCTCTTCTCCCACCTGGTCTACTGATTAATACTGATAATAATTAATTATTATTAAATTATATGTTTACACAGAATCATAGAGCAAAGTGCCAATGATTAACATATGTAGAGGCTACTAACAGAGACTGGACAGTTCTTATTCTTTTGGTGTGTGAGGTGCAGTAGGT